TACGATATCTTCTTATTAATGATTGTATCCTGCTATTATACTGCTGCCTGAAATATATAACAGCTTATCTGGATAACACGAGTAATTTAATAATACTCTAGTAGAGAAATTCTCAAAGGGTACAATCTATATTTCTTACCTTTTATCGATCTTATGACAACAATATTCCTTTAAATTGCCTCTAATATGACACAGCAATGGAATGTATAAGATAGCTGCAATCAAAGTCTTGACAAATGAAAATATAAAAAGGAAGATAGATAATGCCATTGTCGCCATAGCAAGACGATGAACACTATCTCCATAGCTATTGATGTCAAGATATTGCTTTGATTTATTTAATTGAACGAGATAAAATAATGTGATGCCGTTAATAACCTGACGTGGCGCCTCAGCAAAGACAAGACGTTTCCATCCTATAACGAGCGAATATATATATATATATATATATTTTTTTTTTTTTTTTAAAAAAAAAAACTTCAAACTATTCATTAAACAAACAAATAAAATTCTCTAAAAGTTTACCTTTAAACGCAAAGAACACAAAAAATGCAATTTTGTCAACAATTTTTTGGGAGTTATTAATTTTACTGAAAAAGCAGAAATGTTCATAACTTTTTAAGATATAAGTTCTGTAGGCTACAATATTGGTAAACGCGAGCGATATGTATTTTGAGTCCATGATCTTTTTAGCCTTCCTAATATCCCAGGCTAAAAGCAAAAATGATGCGAAAATACATCCAATATAAATCCATTTTGAGATATAGAATGGAATTTTCGGTTGTATGGCAGACCCCCAACGGTCAAAAAGAAGTAAAAGTCCAGCAGTCCACATATCCGCGATGTAGATAAGTACGGATTTTAGTATAACAAGAAAGACAAATGAATATTGTAATTTTCCTATCGTTTTCCCTGCAACACTTTTGTCTTTAAACTCTTCCAAGTCAACAAAATCGAATTTGTAGTCTCGGATCTTATTGCTTTTAACTTCCTCTTTCCATTTCGGTGCTGAGCAGCACATTTTTTTATAAGAAAAATCGCCCTATTAATAATTTCTTTATATTACAAAAATTTTTTTTTTTAGCGAAAGTAATAAAAAAATAATTGATTTTTTTTTATTCTATGAGAATTCGGTATTGTCATTTATCGAATCAGAATTTTTGTTGAGTTTAGGTGAGGTTTATGATATGTCGAAGAATTAAGCAGTTGATGTAAGTATAGGAAATTTTGGATTCATGTCATTTTACGTATATAATCAAAGACGCGGATGAATAATAGGTCTTGAAATTTCTTCGAACGATATCGAAGAATAAAAGATAACGAATGTGAATATAATGTAAAAGAATGAAAATCCTAAATGACAAAGGAAAAAGAATGTAAGCAATTATTACGATTCAATTTTTTGTTTGATAGTTGATTAAAACGGATTTGCTGATCTTATATGTTGTATTACCTGACTTTGTTCTTCTACTCGTTTAAGATGCAGGTAATTTCTTTCGTAAAATGTAGGATCATTAATATTAGACTTCTGCGGTTCTCTGCCACACTAGTAAATGAGGCGTAATGTAAATTATTATGCAATTATTCATTTCGTACACCTAACCTTTTGTCATAATAAACATCCGATATTTTTGACTACGTAGACTTATCCATTAATTAATTAATAGGTTTTCATCACTTGGCCGGGTCAAAATTTGAAAACTTGATAAAAAAATTTTTTATATGTTTTAATAACCGGGTGGGATTTTAAAAATTTTTATATATGAATTTTTTTAAAAAAAAAAAAAAGCCGGCCGGCCGGGTCTGTTTAAAGGTTTCATGTTATTATAATATTAAATTTGTATGGCCTTATCCAAATATAGGGGCTTGCTAAAGTCAGTAAAGTCAGGTACATCACGGGATTACTCGATATATAGCCCAAACAAAACAAAGCGAGACGACAAAGACAAAAACACGAAAAATCTAAAAAAACGGCTATCTAAACTGGTCTTGGTTCACTAATTAAAAGTGTCGGAAATGCGATTTTACTACATTAATTACTTAATATAACCTATACCTATGGCCGGCCATTTCACAAATGTTTAAAGCAAATTTATCAATAATTTGTAATTATGGTAAAGATCAGGCTTCATATATGTTAAGCCAGATCCGCAGAAACTTATGCAATACCTTTGGTATTTCGACAGACTCTGGATTTTTCGGCAATCCATACTTAATACACAGCCGAAATTTTCAGAATCTGCTGAAATACCAAAAGGTCTTCCGAAATCCCAAAAGGTCTTGCATGAGTTTCTGCGAATCTGGCTTAACATATATGAAGCTTGATTTCTACCACATTTACAAATTATTGATAACTTTGTTTTAAACATTGCCATTTGGCCGAAAGGTTTCGGTCACAGGTATAATCTAACCACAACCCTAATATTCATCGATTTTAATTAAAAAATGGGTAATCTCGTGATGTACCTGGCTTTAGCCACCCCCAAATATACCGATATACCAACCAACAAATATTATGTAGCATCAAATTTTATCTCTTAATACCGGTATTATTTTTTTTATATATTTTTGCATACCAGTATATTTAAATTTAGTTAACAGAGTTTCCGGATATTAGCTTTTTTAAAAGTTGGTTATACTTGAGCGTATATTTTGATTTTGATTTATTTAATATGATTATTACTGTGAATAATTTTCCAAAAACCTTCCTTTTTTTTTTCCGAAAGAGATAATACCGATCAAATTACCAAATCAACCGGCGTTGAGCTAATTTGTTATACGTATTCTTTCTGGAAATTGAGCTACATAGCTAATAATAGTTATAAATAAAAAAAATATTTGTTAAGCAAATGTTTTTTCAAATATTTATCTTTTTTTAATTCTTTATATAGTAAACATTAACGTTCTTTTTAAAACGAATAATAATCAAAATTTGTTGTTTTTAGTGAAACGTTACAATTTCAAAAATACTCAAAGCGCATGAATAAGTTACCTTGGCAATTTATTTACATAAGTCAATCAGACAAAAGTCTTCTTATGAGCTGGCTAGTGCATCTGAACATTTACAACGGGCTAATATCATATCTGATGTTTTTTTTTATGGGAATATAAGTCAAAGATAAATATTGTAATTGATATTGTCGAAAAATCAAAACTTGATACCTCTAAATCATCGCTGGGATAAATCACAAGTTAGCCGTTTATGGTATATCAAATTTACATTACGTACACGTAAATTTTGTGTAAATTAAATTCATTAATTTTGATTACGTAATGTAAGGAATGGGGCCTAAATGCTACGTACATATAATATATATTGCATTTAGGCTTTTCTACTACAAAAAGACCTTATATGATCTGCATTGTAACTCCATTAAGAAATTTATACGTAGCTGTTTTCAAAAAGGTGCAAATCACCATATTAAGAAAAATTCATGAAATTTCCCAGATTTTCTGAAATTTCTCTAATCGGATCTTCAATTTTTACTAATTAGAATTTTCGATTTCTCACATAGGTATATGGGAATCGTTGTTCACACCTTTTTGAAAACAGCCGGAAATAATATTAATGAGATTACAACTTCGAAACTGTCATATATCACATGCATTATCAATGTCCGGAGTAGGGATGCGAGTTATACCTATACTATATTGTATTATACGATTGGTATAATACCAGTATAATCTCAGTATTATACACATGGGCATAGGTATAATACCAACAATAGAAATGGGTTGACTAATTAAATTGCTTCATTTGCAATTCCGAACCATATGAAGCTGAGAGTATAATGGTGGTTTATTCCAATTGTTTTCAAAGTTAATTGGACATATGCCCAAAACTAAATGTGGTTCAGTTTTTTGTCCAATTTCCCAACACTGGTTTATACCATGCTATACCGTATTATACAATATTATACCTGGTATAATACTACCGTTTTTTATTATACCGGTATAACCGCATCCCTAGTCCAGAGCTGAATTAATGGATCCAAAAATACCCGCCTGTCTGTGATGGTCTCTTTGTTTGATTGGTTAATAATTCAGGCAATCATATGATTTATAATTAAAATAAGGTTCATTGACAATAAATCTCAGTGTTATAATGTAACATGTATTTTATTATTGTTATTCAAAATAAATTTATAAAAAATCAACATTGTATATGTTGTAAATGGGAACAGAATTTAAGCGGATATGGATTTTCTTAGGGTTTTATGATTAGAGTGTAGGTTTATATAAAATAAGCTCTACCCTAAACTTATAAACTAAGAAATTCAAAATTCACTTAAATTCCGGTCCTACTTACAAAATATATACCGTTTAGCACTGCAGATAATACCCCAGGTCTTATCCAAAACCTTAATTTTTAAAATAGATTAGTACCCGAGTATTTTGTATAGAGCTAGGTACTATATTTGTGAGATATTCATATGAAAAGTAATAAATCAAAAATTTAGCTATACTTTGGGTCTTATTCGAGAAACGGGGTGGGTAATACCCGAGTCTTATCATAGGGGTATTATTTTGTAGGGTACTTTATGCAGTGTTAAACGGTATTTGGAAAGTATATACTATATAATCTCGTTTTTTTTTTTTTTTTGTTTAGCCAATTCTAACTAAATTGGCAAACAGAAATAAACATAGTAAAAAAAGAATAGTATTTGTGAATAATTGACCTAGAATACCTGGAAATGTATAATCACTCAAAGTTCTTGAATCAAGAATAGTGGTTCGATCCTATTCTTTAAGGGTTGTTCGATTTAATCCGGGTTACTTTTCGAGCATCCGAATTATAATTCGAATTGAATAAATTCAGTGTTGATGCGGATGTAATTCGTAAAAATATTGATCGACCAATCGAAATCGCGAATTTCGAAGCTCTCATATTTGGAAAAATAAAATCTTGTATCTAGCTTCAAAAAGTACGCTTAGTGATTAGACCCTGGTGGGTGCCATCCGGGTCACCTGCAACCCGGGTGGAAACAGATAGGTCAACTTGCAGGTCACCCTAAGCCAAGCAACGGGTGGTCCGTGGATAGCTGTTTTCATAAAATCCTGAACCTGAAAAATTAAATCTTTCGATAACCGAATTGATAAGTTATAGAGTTAGTCATGACGTCAGCAAAAATCAAAAACTTATCTATTTGGTCTTTGGCAATTTTTACTCATTTGTTTGAAAATTTATAAAAAATAGCTGTAACCAGGTTTCCGATATCAACATCTACCAGGATAATTTATATTTCACCATCGGGTGACCCGATGGACGACTTTTCTTAGTTGACCTGGTTTCCACCCGGGTGACTTATGGTCAACCCGTTGTGTGAACCGAGTGGAGATTTTTTAGGCGAATCCAAACACTAGGCACGCTCGTGAAAAATAATCAAAACCCTATGCACCAGTGGCCACTGAGACCAGGTGTTATTCACCATCCCTACTGGCTTTTTACTTGAATAAGATCCGGGTACAACTATATTGATTTACTACTTTTAATATAGTATATCCCCAAATATAGTACCCGGTTCTTCATACAGTACCCACGGGTACTATTCAATTTTAAAAAAGGAGTTCTTAAACAAGACTCTGGATACTGTAGGCAGTGACCAACGGTAATTTGTTTAAATATTTTACCACATTCGCGCATAATAACGCGCATTTGCGCGCTATTTTGAGCACCTGTACGATATTTCGAATCATTTAGCATAATATATTCGGTATAAAAAAATATGTGTGTTGAATATATACGAAAATCAGATGCGATAGCGCGTTATTTTTGAGTCAAATATGCAATTTTCAATAAAAGTGAAAATTTCGAAATAACGCCCATGTGCGTTATTACACGCAAATTCAGTACTGATGTTTTCGTAAATTCTAGGTAATGAAAAATTGCTGATGAACGAATCAACAAATTTTGATATAAACAAATCTTGGTAATTTATTAATTCCGACTCAGCCTTCATCGAAAAAGTTTTCAGTTGTTTTCGTAAATTCTAGACAACTAGTGCTCGACAAAATCAAGCA